GGTCGATTTTAGAACTATTTTGTCGGACTAAATTTACTTTTATCACATTCGCCTCTATTAAAAATATTTGTCTAATTTTGATTCTTTTATGACCAAAATCAATAAATTTTGACTAATAATTAAATAAAAATTATATTAGATATTGATATAAAATATTTTTATTAGATTGATCTGGTAAAATATTTTCAAAAATATTATTTTAGCTAATACAACTGTCTTTTGATCTTGAAATCTCAGGTCATATTATGACTCGGATACATGCGATGTCATGTTTGTAAAATTGATGGTTCCTACCTCCATAACCCCTACCCCTGCCCCTACCTGCCCACCCCACCACAACACTCCCTGTCTCCTACATGCCCACCCCACCACAGCATCCCCCTTCCTCCCCTCTCCATTTTGCCGATTGGCTATAGTATTACTGTAGTCAATCGGCGGATTAGTTAACCGGTTTGCTACTAATTTAGAATCAAACACGGAGTATTAATTTATAACAATGTAAAACTTTAACTCGAAATATTAAGTTATTGAAGAATGGAGTATCAAAGCTTATAATAATGCGGAAGCAAATTAAAACTATAACATCAACATAATCACTTTAGAAACTTAAGACCCGCTTGCATCGGAATCTCTCTCAACTCTCTCACTTCCTCTTCTCCATTAACCAAGTTTCATGCCACTAGCCATTAAAGAGTACTACTCGCTCATCATACACAGCTGAATGAAATCTAAGAGTGTTTAGTATTACGTTTGTAAATGATACAATTTGATACTCCGTAATAATTAGTCTTATTAAATGTTCCATCCATCCTAAAATATGATTCTTGTTTCTTTGCAATATTTGGTTGAAGTTAGTTTCAAATTAATATAAGTAAAAATTGGTACAGAAATAAAAAATAAAGATTATATATAAAAAAACTAGCTACATCAAAAGTTCTACCAAATAAGTGATGACAATATTATTTTATTTTATCAAATAATCAATGAAAATGAATAAAAAAGATTGAATTTGTTTGGCCTTAAATAGTAATTAGGAGTTTTTTCTGAGAGCGAGAGGGGGGGGGGGGGCAGTAATAAAATGTTCTACCCCCGAGCCTACGAATAGGGAATGCATAAAACTTCTTTCCTGACTTGAGTGGTAGCAATCTCATTTCCTACGATTCATGGGGAATTTCACTCAGGTTCGAGTTCCCGCGGAAGCAGAAGCATTGACTCTTTGTGGGTTATTAGGTTGAGAATAGCATGAACAAATATACTACCTTATAATAGAGTTAATAGCATTTAAAAAAAGAGAATGCATAACGACTTTAACTAAAGTGGGAATAGGAAATAATGTATATGAAGTAATAAATATACCCTTGGTTCCCATGACATTGGGTATCAATGTCAAGGGATGACCCGAGGATGCTCCGGTGTCCCGTTTGTAAAATTGAATGTTCCTAACCCCTGGTAAATCCTCCACCCCGCCCCGATCCGAACACACCCCCACTCCCTTTAATTGCACTCTCCAAGCTAATTTTAACTTTGCATAAAAATGAAAAAGAATATTGTAATGAAATTGAGGACGGAGGAAGTATAAAAATATACAAAGAAATATAGATGAGAGTAAAGAAATGATACAGAAAGATACAAAAACAAAAGAGCCTTTAGAAGGCAATGACATGCCAGACTGTATTGTTTTGTTTCTCGTGGTGAGACATGCCCCGTGTGAGTCAATTACTAATTCTATATATACTGGCGTATAGTATTTTCTATGGGTTTGGGTTGCATATGTAACTACTGTACAATTTTTAATAATAGCGGGTAATAATAATGTATGAACTAGCTACTACAAGTACTAGTTCTTTATATATGTCATCGTCGAATTTATTTCAAATTCAATGAATCAAACCTAGTACAATAGTGGTCTTTAATTTTCTTTTCTTCTTTCACAATGTTTACATTTATTATACCTGTATATCGTTAGTAGGTCTACTATGGTGTTTTACAATTTGCATTTGAATAAATTCAATTGAATTGACGTCCAAAGCTTCAAGTATTTGAAGTGAGAAAGTCGTAGGTGGACGTTGCGCAATTGGTAAAGGCAAAAGTGCTAAAAAGTAAAATCAGAGTTCGATTCTTGGTAACTATGCTGGGAGACAACTATGCTAAGCATAGAGCCTCTGCAACTACCAGGTGCAAACTAACTAATTGCCACCAATCTACGACCAAAGTACAATTTACTTCATCTCAGTTGACCGTCTGATAGGATTTGAGAAAGTCTTAATGACACTATACAAAAGAAAGGCTATTACAAAAGACCTTAGAGGCTTAGTGGCTTATTGGTGTCATTTGAGGGGTTCGGTCCCATCCGACTCTACATGACAAACTAGTCGTTTGGATTTGATACCAGTTGGGTGTACTTTGGTTGAGCGATACTAGCTAGCTTGGACAAACACATTTGGGTTAAGTATAATTTGATTTGGCTCAAGTTTGGATCAATATACTTCAATTTGGATCTGAGTTCGGGTTTGATTTAGGTTTTGTCTAGTTCGGGTGAAACTTAAACATGCCAGTTTGGGTATAGGGTCGGGTCAATATCAGTTTGGGCTTAGGGTCAAGACAGTGTCAAGTTGTGTATGTTTCAATTTCAGGCCAAGTCAAATTCCAATAATGTTTCTTGAGGTAATTTTCAATCGAGTGTGTGGTGACTTTAGTAGCATTAAAATTTGAACAATATACTTTTAGGTTGACTTAGAATTTTATTATGATTCTTCAAGTTTTGATGATGTGAACAAAAAGGAAAATTAGATACATCATTCATATTGATGACATATCGATTATTAATGTATTGTATACTTTGTAACATATCGTAATAAAACACATATGCATTCTTTTGAAAAAACACATGCATTTTTATTAATAATGTCATAACCCATAACTTTCTCACTCTCAGTCTCTCTCTCTATGGTAATACGATTGTAGATGGAGACACAATTATCTTTCTTCGGCTTTAATTTTTTTTACGGAGTATTATCAATCTTTCGGTTTTGCGGTAGATAGGAGACGTGCAACGGCGAGGGGATGCTATAGTAAGTGTAATGTAGAAACTGTTCTCGCCTAACAAATGCCCATCATATTAAAATTTATTACGAAATTTATATTCTATAAAATCAATGATAAAGATTAGACCAATTGTTCCAAACAGAAATTGGATCCTTGGATTTCTCAAATTGGCTGCAAATCAAAGATAGATTGGTATATTCCATTTTGATTTTATTTTTATAAATATAATAGATAGATTTCTACATAACATTGTACTTCATATGCCTTTAATTGTAATTTCCCACTCAATTATATATGTGAAAACATCTCAAGAAGTGGTATGAAATTTAAATTAAATCAACTCAGAGCTTTCACACTCGTACAAAAAAATTACACTCATAGAGTCATAGGGAATACTTTTTTGTTCCCAATGGTTTACTTCTCCACTTCCCTCCATTTTTCAAGTTTCCATGCATAAAAATTTTATTTCAAAAATGTTATGAATCCATCATTGGTGCCCCCACGAATGATAGTCACATATAATTTAATTTATATATATACAGACATTAATCATCTATGATTGTTGTTGGCATGTGTATAAATAATCTATAATTGTCATATGCGGGTACACTTATAGTGTGTTTCTAACATGATCTAATTTTTTTAGTATGTAAGAAGTTTTTCTATACAAAACATATAGGAGAGAGAGTGTGTATGATGGATGAATTTAGAGGAAAAAAGATTTCCTCACTATTGGGAAGCATTAAATAATTTTAAACACTAAAAAATAATAATGTGAAAAAGAGAAAAAAATGTAGAGAGAGTGTGGTGAAGAAATTTTTTCTCACCATTGTAAATACTCAAAAGAAGAGCTCTATATAAAGTGTATTGATGTAAGGTCTTTAGATAATTAAATCCATACAGGAATTTGACAAAAGTTTAGAGGCACCAACAAGAGTCACCATTTTTCAACTGATCTACTTAGGATGAATCCCATCTCCAAGGATCCTTTAGAATCGACCGTACGGTCTCTGAAGAAATAAATTGGTGGTCACGTGTTGGTGTTAAAGGGTGGTCTACACATATTACTTGAATATGGTATATGCTTACCATAGTTGTCTTCTAACGTAGTTGATAGAAATTGAATTCAGGTATTATCTCTGGACACCTTTTGGCATGCCAACTGCAGAACGTCACCGACAAATAGGGATTTCAAAGTATTTTTCTTATTTAAATGGAGAAGCAAAAGAGGGAAGAAAAAAGAATAATACTTGGAGATTCTCATTTGAGGTACACAAAGTATACACCAAGACATAAATAGGCATCCTAACATTTAATCTCTGTCTGTGTATAGACATTAAATATTTGTGTGTGCCTATTTGTATCATGTTGTACACTTGGTGTACTCTTAATGGAGTTTTCCTAGCACTCTCCAAGAAAAAAAAATAATGATGGGGTCCACACTGCAAAATATATTCTATAGTCGGGTGTACGGGATGAACCGTACAGCCGGTAAAAATTAGCAGAAGAGCAACGCGTCGACCGAAAAACAAAGGGAATACAGAGCAATTCATGTAGAGAGCAGCTGGCGCGGATCGTGGAAGAAGAAGAAGATGATGACGATTAGGGAGCAAAGATCTGATCAGAGGAAGCAGAGACCCGACCCGAGGGCTGCCCTACCCTTCTCGATCCGAAATCGAGGAAGCAACGTGCAGGAAACCTAACTGAAGACGAGCGGTTGATTTATAGTACTGAAATCGTTGATTCGTTGCTATGGTAAGATTAATTATACTACGAGTACATATTTTCAAATGTAAAAGGATTGAAGTGCATTTTACTTAAAAATGAGTACTAAATTATTTGAGAATAAGCATTACTTCATTTAAGAATAAATATTAAGTTATTTATAAATAAATATTATAATTATATTATATGGGGAATGCTCTAGTACCTGGTTCATAAAATTAACTAATTAACCCCCACCCCCTTGCATCCCCAAAAACTTTTCTCTTGCCAATTGCCATTTGCCACTAGCTTTGTAGCTCCTTCATTCTGCAAATCTGCCATGGCAGTGCGAATAAATCCAAGCTCTTCAACACTAATACCCAAATCCGCAGATCATCGGATTGCAACCAGAGATCCTCAAACAAACGCCGCACTCATACACAAGGTGCCGGAATTGGGAAAGCGGCGCCACTGGAAGTTCACCGTTCGATGCTCGGAGAAACAAGCTCAGAGCAGCCTCAGGACGTGCAAAATTTGCAAGGCAAAGTTCGATCCTCTGCTCAATCACCGCCGTGCTTGCCGTTACCACCCTGCCCATTTTGGAGGTATCTTCTTTAAAGCCCATAGTTTTCCGTACTCTCTACTTGGCTAACTACTGGCTAAGTGCTATGTTAGGGTTCTCAAGTTCAATTTCACCCCAATTTGTTGTCCACAGACATGAAATATATGTGAAATCCATGTCCTCCAGTGCTAGATCCACACTCTGGAAAATACTAATCCTTTCTCAATTTCGTTTTTTCACTTGCTATGGCAAAATCATAACATTCAAGTATAAGTAGTAACTTGTCTTAGTACCAAGCAGTTTTTTCTCTTTACCATTGCATTTCTTGTGATCCAAATGTTCCCCAAATGCTGCGAGTGTAGGAATTAATTTTGTTTTACTTCTTAATGACATCCCGCAAATTGGTTACTACTTTCAAGACTATTATGTGTTGTTTGATCTAGTTCTTGTCATCACTGACTTATATTGATTTAGTAGCTAGTCGCGTGTATAATTAGCATGTTTGCCTTTATAACATGTATTCTCCAAAGATTTTGTTCAGATGTTTCTGATAAAATAAATCCTTTAAAATGGATGCCCTTTATTGTACTTCTGGGTTGGACCATAAGGTCATTTCACTTTTTCCTAACAATATTTACTTTTACAAGACAATTTATGAAGATAATTCTCTACTTACGAGTAGGGGTAAGGTTTGTGTATACAAACCTCCCTTAGATCCTAATTTTACTAGGTTTGTTTGCTTTTTAATCTGTGAGTATAATTCTTTTTAAAGTTTAGCCCATGAGATCCAAACTACTCTCACTTTGTGAACATTAATGAAAATTTCATAGTTCATCACTTAATCCTATTATGTTTTAAATAAGCCACACTTTCATATGTTTTGCTTGATTGGCCAAAATTTAGAATTGTAAGATACAGATTGCACAAAACTCTAGTCCTTTAGTTTTTTTTACTTTAATCCACATGTAATTCCGAGGTGATTTTAACTTCTTGTGTTCTCTGATCTTAAGCCCCTAGTAGTATCTGTAATCATAATTCTTCAACAAACAGGACTGATGTATAGTTTAATTATCCTCTAGTCCTTAAGTTTTTTTTACTTTAATCCACATGTAATTCCGAGGTGATTTTAACTTCTTGTGTTCTCTGATCTTAAGCCCCTAGTAGTATCTGTAATCATAATTCTTCAACAAACAGGACTGATGTATAGTTTAATTATCATCCCTTATGACGATTTATCTATATAGGACATTTTTACTTTATTGGTAATTTTAACCATAGTAACTCTTACACCAACTTCTATCTCATTGAATACGTGAGCGAGTGCATGCGCGCACACACACACAAACACGCACACGAGCTTCGATGTATGGGTTTGAGGTGATTAAGAAGGCACATGATTCACGAGTAGAATGTAGGTATTGCATAAATGTTTTTCTCCCAGCAAAGTCAAGAGTAGCACATAATATTAATAAATTAAATTTATTTGGGAAAACTTTTCACACAAATTCATTTTCCACAAAATTGAATTTCTTGTGTACCAAACACAACCTATTTTTTTGACAATCTGCTAGAGTTTGGTAAATTTTAAAAAAAATAAGGAAGGCATATTCTCAAGTGTGTATAGTCATCCAAGAGTTTACACTACACAACGACAACAAACCCAGAATATAATAATCTCAACCCAACCGGGTCGTGGGATTAAGATGTTCGTAATCTTATCCTGTATAAAAGAAGCCATTTTCTTTAGACCCTTTGATGCATTCCTGCATTTATTGTCTAATTCTTCAATGAATGCAACAAACATGGGAAATTTAATGTGTCATTTTAATTTAGTCCATTACTACCTCCGTCCCAGAGTATTTGTCCACTTTCATTTCTACACACCATCCAATACACTTCTTTAATCCATTTTATCTTGTAACTTGTATATTAAAAAATTATAAAAATTATATATTAATAATCTATATGTTAAGACAAATCAAACAAGATCACACATGACTATATTTAGGCTTACACATTGAGAGAATTTGATGAGTCAAAGTGCTTAGATGAACAGTTCCAAAAGTCAAAAGTGGACGAATATAGTGGGACGGAGGTAGTATTTATTTGAAGCTAAAGCATTGTCAAGAATGACTTTTCTAGAAGCATTGACATTTGAAAATGAATGTCATAAGTTGACATTATAGGCCTCCAAAATAGTACCACAGAACACTTCTTTCAGGAGAGGTGAAAAGATTTGCCTCTCCTAAACCTCTCACATCTCAACCTCCATGACACCTGCCCCACTCTGACCCGCCAGCCGACCACAACAAAGCACGTACTTTGTAAATGGTATTGCCGAGACAATTGTTTCACGTGTCAAACACTGTTTGTTTTGTCTTTTTTCTGATGATTCATGCATTGTCTGATTCATGCATTTCAAGTTTTGTTCTTTTTTTTTCCCAAATGCATCAAAACTCCAAAATGTGTAGGGAATTTTCAATATTTTAACATCTTTCAATGTTTTCTTTCAACCATAGGTTTTCATGGAGTGACCCTTCTACTCTCTTACACTGTTTGGTTTGAGAAATTAGGACATGAAATGAACAGAAATCTGAAATCCTAGTCTTGTTTGGTTATTAGAGAAATTTGTGTGGAATTTTTTTTATGATTCCTTAATTAGAGGAGATTTCAATAAGGATGAAAGAAAAGTTCTATTGGTCAGTGGTCAAACCAAGTATGCTCTATGGAGAGGAGTGTTGGGCCGTTAAGAATGTCCACTCATGTTACAGAGATATGTTGATGTTGCGGTGGATGTGTGGGTAGAAGAGATTGAATAGGCTTCAGAATGAGGTTAACTGCGACGGGTAAGGTGAGATTGAATAGGCTTTAGAATGAGTTATCTCGACAAATAGGAATGACACCTGTGAGGATAAGGTGCGAGAGGCGTTGAGGCCCCGGTGCGGGGATGTGAGAGGTTTATGATTATGGGTAGGGGTAGGGGTAGGAGTAGGAGCAGGCCTAGGAAAAAATTGGAAGATGTGGTTAGGCCGGAGTTAGGACCTTTAGCCTTTATAGGGAGTTTGGTAGTTTGGAGTTTTTGGACCGCTGTGGTAATTTTTTTTAGGCTTGGGGTCTTTTTACTGCATCTGTTTGTATGTCCTTTGTCTCATTGCGCTTTTCTTTCTTTTAACTTGTTTTTTGTTCTTCTGCCGTGCTATGTGCTTCCTGTTTTGCGTGAGCTTGGCATCTCTTGGAAACAATCTCTCTACTTCCAAGTAGTGGGTAAGGTTTGTACACCCCCCCTCCTCCCTATACTAGATCCTAATGTTGTGAAATTCTACTGGGTTGTTGTTGTCTTGTTGATTCCTTTGTTGAGCGTGAGAGATTCAGGGGAGAGGAGAGAAATTGACAAGGGATTGAATGGAGAATTTGAGCGATGATTGATTGGGTGAGATTGTGAGGACTTGTGACTAAGTTTCTCCACTTTAGTACTTTTCCTCACCAAATTGGAAGGGAATTTGTTTTTCCCCTTTTTTATTTCACTTTTCCCCACTTTTCTTCTCTTTTCCTCACCAACCTAACAAGAATAATTATTTTTCATATCGTTTGTTTTTCTTTTCCCTAACCATTCCCATGAAAAATGGTAGTCATACTCGAGATCTTATGTAGGATCGCTAGACCTAATGAAGATCGTAACATCGTAACTCGGATCGTAAGATCCTACAAATAAATAAATATATAAGTAAATAAATAAATAAATATATATAGTTGGACAACATATAAAAATAAAAGGGACGTGAATAATTTTGTATAATAAGTATGAAGATAAAGGTAATAAATTGAAAAAAGAAACTTGACAAAAAAATCACTGTCAGAAGCCTAAAAGGAAATAAGAGACATTTTTTTATAAAAAAAATCTCTACCAGTAGGTAAGAATTGTAAAACGACTGCCAATAGGTAAAAATCACTACCAGTAGGGCAGTAAGTGAAAATCACTGGCAGAGCCCAGAAGCCTAAAGCGAAAAGAAAAAAAAAGAAACATACTCGAAATTGCCTAGGCAATATTTGTGCCTATTTGTGTGGGAAAAGGGGTGTATTTATACCTGGGCATATTTTCAGTGCGAGTTAGATCAGAAATAGGCTTGGGATCTGCAGAATACAATCGTACGATCCAGATCACAAGTTTGACTACCATGCCATGAACCAAGCATAGTGTTAGGATAGAGGAAATATGTAGAAACAGACCGACATGTATATATATACATATATACCACATAATCACTAAAATCCCTTCTAAATTGAACAGGAGAGACAAAGAGGAAATTCGAGAGTGTGTACAGTGGAGGTACCATGAACACCCCAGACTCCGGTAAAATTTCTAAGTACTGGCATTGCTGTGGATCTGAAGATATATTCCACCCTGGATGTACCCCTACACCTCATGCCTCATACGATGATTGATTCACCCGTTCATTCATCCCGACAACTACGTTCCTCCTAGCAGCTCTTTCTTCATCAGGTTTTCTGCTAGCACTACCCGAGATCTTTTTGTTTTTATAAGGGCATGTTTGGGAATATCGTTTTCAATTGTCGTTACCATTTTGGATAATTCTTTATTGGTATCGATTAATTTAAAAAATTCTGAAGCTGAACGTTGCTACTCCGTATTAGATAATCTTTTCAAGATGTTGAAGTCGTTGCCTAACGGGCACAAGGTGTGTAAATGATGGTTTTGCATTCAAGGAATGGAACCTCTCCTAGCTAGGTGTTTCTTACTTCAGGTATATTACTTTTGAGCTCTTTGTTCATGTAAAGGTGTTTATATCAGTTTTGGATTTGCAAAATGTTTGGAAGGGTGTGTTGAAAGATTGTCGCGCTATATATCGGATCAATGGGATGCTTGATTGTGTTTAATCCTTCATTATGGTGACACTTAGGGAATATTATTATTACCATTTTGAAGAAGCGTATCAGATGTTGCGGGATTCAATTGGTTTGATCTTCAGTGCACAATTAAGTTCTTGGTTTTGCATATTGCACCGGAAATGTTCATACTGGTTCTTGGTTTTACATATTACCATTCGTGTTCCTAGAATTGGTATATATGATTATATCGGTGTTCCCCGTTTAGTGTTGGAACACCAATGTAAATATATAAGAACTTGCACAATTTTAGAAGTAATGTTGTATTTTTTTAACAACAAATATGGCATATTGTTCTAAAAATATTTTTAATTTGATTTTAATGATAATGATACTTTTAATTTGATTTTAGTGATAAAAGTATTTTATTTTTTAAAGTAATTACTGAAAAGATGTAAATAAACAAAAACTATAGGTAACTCAAAATAATAACTGTGCAATCCATTTTAGGATGGAAATTATATTTGAATGTTTCTCCAATGTATATCAAAAAATTTGATTCATTAAGTAAATGCATATTAGTCATACTACAACTCGACAAATAATTACATGCGCATAAGATTCATGATGAACTTTCATATATGCTAAATAAATATTTCCAAATGTTAAAATAAATTTTTTAAAATTTAAAAAAAATAATATGTGAGAAGGTCCATGTGAGCCTTAGACCCACCATACAATCACTCCTACCACTAGGGGTGTTCAAAAGTATCCGATCCGAAATATCCGTCCATGATTTAGGCAGATTCGATCCGAAAAATGGATATTCGATTCGATATTTTAGCTTATAGATATTTCAGATGGGATACCCGAGAAAAATCAGATCGGATATGGATTCTAATTCTGGTTTTTTTGGATAATCAAATATCTAATTTTTTTGGCTATATATTTAATGGAATTTTATGGATATATATTATGACTATATGTTCAATGCAATTTTATGTTGATTTTGGAACTTAAGAATTTTGGACTTTTTACATTAGTATTTTGGAACTTTTTTGTTTTAAACTTTAGTGTTGCTTTTTTTGGTTTGTTTAGGACAATCTTAGTGGTGGAATTTTGTTTTTAGTAAATCTATATTGAATTTGATATTGTGTGTTGATTTTGCTATTTAACCTTTTTTTTTTAAATTTTGGATAAAAGTTAACTTTTCGAATAATCCAGTAATCTGATCTGAAAGGTCGTATGACCAAATTTTGGATATTAGAATATTTTCGGATCGAATATGAAATGAGTTTTACATGATCTGAAGTTTTTGGATATTTGAATTTTCAGATCCGATCGAACACCCTTACCTACCACTCGTACCTTTCAAATTTCAAAAATTAGACATAAATATTACTCCATATTTCCATTTCCAAAATTAATCACATTTTTGGAATTTTGAGATAATTTTGTCTTTGAAATATTTTATTTAAAAATTGGTATAAACTAAAAAAAATATAACTTAAATATTAAAAAATTACACAAAAATATTTACCAAATACTCTTACAAAATAAATGATGACAAAAAAATATTTTATATTATCAAATAATTATTGAAAACATAGAAATAAACAAAATTATCAAGGTCAGAATAAAAAAAAATAACTTATTACGAGAGAAAGAGAGTATATTATACAAATACAAAAACTCTATAATCTTACATGGTATAAAAATTATTGTACTTATTTATATTTCAAGAAAATAATGCACACACACATATTTATAAACCCCTATGTGTGACTTCGGTCCAAAACGTTTTGGTGCAAAATTTTTGGTCACAACATAACCATACTATTTGGTCGATCCAATTCGAATTTCTTTGTGCTAATCAAAGATTTCCCACTAAGATTCAGATTCAGATTCGCCCATGAAACCCGCTTCCCCATTGCTCCCCTACCAACTCCATGGCTACATTCCCTGATCGATTCCCCCCGCTTCCGGACCTTAAACCTTATTCTTCTCCTATTCCATGGCAATTCGTTTCCTTTTCCTCCTCTTTCCGGCGAGTTCTTTCCCTTTCCCTCCTGATTTTCCGATTCAGATTCTATTCTCCGGCCGAATCCCAATTTCTCCTCCCCTTTCGCGTCTCTCTCGATCTCCGGCATCGACGGCAACCACTTGGGGACGTGCCTGAGCTTCTCCGAGTCATACTCGCCGGCGCCCCGTTTTAGCGGCAGCTTCGTTTTTCTTCGGTGTAAAACGTTCCTCGGGAGCGGCCTCGCGAACGGCGTCTCCTCCGTGTAATTGACGAACTTTTGGAGGCCTCCGATCACGGCGGAGTTTAATAAGGTGGACTTTGAAGAAGAAGGGGGATCCGACGCGCCGGGGAACCCCTGCACGGAGCCAAGCTCCTCCAGCGCCGCCGCGACGTCGAGGAGGTTGGAGTCCGTGCGGCCGCTGGAATTGGCGGAGGACGCGGCGGATTTGCCGATCGCGTTCAGGTACAGGGCGGCGATGTCCGTCAGGACCGCGATGGCCGAGGATTCCGCCGCCGCGTAACCGGCTGCGCCGCAGATCTGAGCCACCGCTATTCTGGTGACGGACGAGGCATAACTCGATCGCGATTGCGGTGGGGCCGCCGTGGATGAGTTGTCGCCGGATTTCATGATGAAGGCGGAGATTGATTGGAGTAGGGAAATTCCGTTCGTCACTAATTTATGACGGAAAAAAGTAGGGAACCCTAAATGGGCCTAGAGCGGTTTCGAACTTGCATCGGTCGTGATGAATCCACTCGAGTTCTACTTGACTATTTTTAACTTTTGGTTCCTAAATAAGGAATGGTTCATAAATATCATTTCATCTCACAATCCCAAATTAATCTTCTTGGTAGGGTATACGGAGTACAAAATTTTAAGAAAGTGAAATTAGGTGATTGAAAATGATGCAAAAAAAAGAAGGAAGGATAATGAAGTGCATATAGTATTTCAAAAAAAAAAAGGAGTCGAAAGCTTTTTTTCGAACATCTCGAAAAAGAAAATAGGATGATTAGTTTGAGATGCATGGAGTACAAAATTTTAAATAAAGTTTGATATCAAAAAAAAAATTAATAAAAATAAGATGATATGGATATGCTTCCTATGTAGTTTTAACACTCCCTCCGTTCAAAAATGTGTTATCATGTATTATTTACACGATCAAACTTTATTTACTTAGTTTTATAAATTTCACTACTTATTGCGTACTCCTTCCATCCCATTTCTAATCGAAGCTTTTTTCCATACAATTTATAAGACAATTAATGTGAAATTAAAAGATAAAATTTACACACCTCAAGAAAAAATAAAATTTACATAATAAAAAAAATACATCAAAATATCTATAAAAGAAATTGTGTCATGACTATTATTATTATTATTATATCAAATGGCTAGCAAAATAGACAATAGAAATAAATAAAATTTGACCTTTTAAATAGTGAACATATTATTTCTTTGGAACGCAGGGAGTAATATAACGTTGTCATGTAATCTATTGTTTTGAAGAATTCTTATGTGAAATGAATTGAAAATGAATTTGATCAAATCTCTTAACATGAAATGAGAAAAATAAATTTGAATGGAGAGAGTAAATGATTTACAAAAATACGTAGAGAAAAAGGAGTAATACTCAAAAAACAAAAGTTTGACCTATGAATAGTGAAGTGTGAATGAGACCATTCGTTTCAATTAGACGGAGTACTCCTTTCATCTCAATTTATGGTGTCTGTTTCAGTTTACGATGTTTGATTGAAGTTATTTTCAATTTAATATATCTGGAGATTGAAAAACATAATCAAATGTTGAAAGAAACTAGAAGAAACTTGAAAGAGTTAGAAAAACTAGAAAGAATTGGAAGATATTGAAAAAAGTAAAATGGTTTCGATTCGATAATCAATCAGGTCACAAAAAGGCCAAAAGATGTGTGACCAAATGGTCCAAATCCGTGAAGCTGAGGGAGCAACTCCAAGTATCTTCAAAGTACTCTTCCAAATCATCTCTAACAACGTACAAAAATTCATCAAATTTTACGAACGCAGCACCGTAGCTCGTACGTGTCTGATGTCACATTTTGGCATTAAGTTCTTACGTCAAAAGAACCTTAGTAGTATTGCATACAAATAGTATTCAAAGAGTTAATCCGGCCATCCTAGTCACAGAAAGGCTCAAAAGATGTGACCAAATCCGGAGAAGTATCTTCAAGCTGATCTTAGAAATATTGTTATGCAATATTTGATCTAAGAGTTTATAAGATGACCAACACTCTCTTGCTTATTTTCCTTCAAACTTGGCATTGAATCACCTTCCTAGTTTACCATTCAAATGCACTTTTCACACACACATACTGAAGCACCAAGTCACCAAGAAAATATCGATCGATCGATTTCGAGAGAGAGAGAAGACAAAAAGCATAGCGTAGCATCGCACTATCATATGCACATAATTGTTGATTTCCATATAATAAACAAGTTAGATTTAGTCGTGGCTACATACCAAATTTTTTAACCGGAGTAGGCCATGATAGTCTACGGCTTTCAACAGCACCGCCGTGTTCCCTGCCCCTTGCAACTTCTTGCAGCTCATTTGCTTGCCCTTCGCGTCTAATGGCCAAATCATCAAAACTCGTTTCTGTTCTCCGAGGTGGAGTCAGACAACTTGAATTCTTCCTTGTTTGGTCACTTTGCAAAGGAGCCTTGTTTGGTGTTGCACTGGAGGAAGGAGGACGGGCACTTAACGCTTGAAGTGTGGCAAATGACTCCCTCATTGCAGACATGGCTTCAAAGAATCTGGTGCATGAAGCCAATGCCACGGGGATAGGACGAAGCATTTCCTGCAATTATTTGAATTAAACCAATTGCGGAAAAAAATGCATTGTATGATACAGCAGTACAACCAAAGCTTAAATTGATCGAACAGATTACACCACAATAATGGACATGCCACCAGACTACCAGATTTAATGGATTTGATTTTACTAGGGAAACTCTAATCCCCAATACCAGTTAACTGCAATTAAGCAAATATGATAACAATAGAGGCTCGGAGGAATTTATGTGCAGATTCGTCCTTGCAAACTAGGACATCTCAGCCTACGGCTGGTTTGGCAAGGTGCTAGATGAAGCTAATTCCTGGGGGAACTTGGCTAAAAGATTCATCACACACTCTGTTGGGCACAAGAAAGCTAAGAACCACTCTCACACCTCCTTGCAGTCAAGAATACAATGGTTCAGGGGTGGATCTACAGATTTGGGAGTGAGGGGAAGGGGGGCAGTGGACTAGCAAGATTATGTAGTAAACAAAGTCCCATTAAATAACTTCACTCACGGAAAAGGAAATGAACCCCTGATCACATATATAGTGACTAGTGGAGTAAACAATTGTGCTTCAAGACTAACCCTTGAACCATTGTGTTCTTGATATTTTATTTTTATTTGTGCTTCGCTAAACAATTGTGCCCCCTATGATACAAATTTCTAGATCCGCACATGTATCCAAATAGAATATATATTATATTTGAAGTAGTGGGTAGCCATGCTTAGTACAATCCTATAGGCGCAAGAGGGTTGAGGTATAGTAGAGTTAAAAGCAGAGTTTTGAGACTTGAGACCGAGTCCAAAAGAAGCAATATAGACACCAGAGGACGACGAGCTATAGTAGAAAGACCGACCAAAAGGAAGGCATTAATAAAATAGTCTCTATCCATATTCCCGAATCCTAGAGACCATGATGATTCTTGCTTCAAAAGCTGAGTAGAGAATTCAAGACTCCCTAAGTAAGTTCTGCCAATATCAAGAATACAATTTCGAAAAATCAAAAGGAATATGGAAAAAAATCTAAAGAAAGATGCTACTTTATGTAGACCATTTTTTGGGTGATGAGGAGGAATAAAACTCTTTATATAAATATTCCAGCTACTATTGTTGCAAGCAGATCACAATAATAAATTGACATACTGCCCATGTCGTTGGTGGATCTTTAAAATTTTGGCTCCACTGGAAGTCAGCTGCAGATGTCGTCAATGCACTGTAGTCACTAGCTGCCCTCATCAGTAGCTCAGAAAATTGTTTCTGCACATATTGTCACTAGTTTAGTATCAAAACAATATCACTAAAACATGTAATTTGCAGGTATTTTTCGGGGTTTCCCCTTGTTTTTTGGGATGACACTGTAGGGAGGCCCCAACAAATGGTAAGAGTATGCGATATGAAAATTAATACGGAGTATATACATGAGAAAGACTAAACTCCTGATTTCTCATAAAAGATACAAGTATCATAAAATCAAAATCTATTTGTCTTTTTGGCTTTCGCATGACGGAGATACAGGATAGAAAAACACCCAAGTCACACAAAGACATAAGCAGCCATTTGATATCCCCATTAGTCTTTTGCTCTAAACAATACTCCATTCCAAAATCAAATTCCTAGTTCCACTTGCCACTTAAAAATTGAGTCTAATAAAAGGTTGTAGACCAAATGGAGTAATATTGTGGGGTCAAAAGATTAAACTTGAGTATGATTTATTAGACCCTTGTTGCATTGTCGGCATTGATGCATTTGCTTTCCAAAACTTTATAGAAAATAAGGACCAAGGGAATTTTTATTTTTCAATCTTCTAATTTTCAGAATCTTTTTTAGCTATAAAAATAGAATACAGAAAAAACAGATAATAACTAACTGCCCTAAGTTAATATTAGTATTATTATTGCATTTTATTAAAAAGGATGAATTTATGTAAACCATGGAGTTTATTTTGCAAATAAGTTAGATTTTCAGTATTGTGGTTGCGAGCACCGCTGAAGTGAGACCGTGAAATCTCCACACATGTTTGGAAAAAAAAGTCATTTAATTAAATTTTAAATAATGAACCTGATATTCTGCTTCCACTGGAATGCAATCTAATGAATATGGTTGTTGAAGCCGAGCAATTATACGGTCCTACAACCAAAGAATATCATTTGAGCTGAAAAAATTACACATCAAAGAAAAGACCAAAAAGGGATGAACACACATGCACAATCAGGTAGAGGGTGAGAAGATATGATTTCACATTTTGAATGAAATCCATTATCTCAAAGATTAGCTATCAAAGGTCACCAAGAAAGCTTAACAACACCAAATCTGGTTATAAAACCAAAGGATGTAAACATTCTCAGTCACATACTCATATATTTTGAAAAGTCGGTGCAGAAACGTGAATCTTGAAGCACATCTAAAACGGTTTCTACAATTTACAATAATAATTATTAGTGATGCATTGCACCACATGTGAAATCTCATTAATACAAACAACAATCATAAAACTCACAAAAAAAGTAGTTGAAAATGAAGTAGCAATTTCCATAGCAGCAAGTGGACATTACCTTGTTCTGAATAACATCTTTCAATATAGTTGTGATTCTCGCCAAAGTCTTGATCTTTTTTTCCATTTGACTAACATGTGTTAGATGGGCAATGTTCTTATCCTCCTGAAATCGGAAAGTTATACATAAATTCCTCTTTGTAACAAGAACAACACTCATCATTTTATGAGATAATTTATAGGGATGTGTGAAATACAACAACAACAACAACAACAACCCAGTTAAATCCCACAAGAGTAGGGCCTGGGGAGGGTGTGTGTACGCAGACCTTACCCCTACTCGAAAGTAGAGAGGCTGTTTCCAAAGAGACCCCCGGCTCAACGTCGAAAGTTGCATTGCTTGACTAACTGCTACTTCATTAATTAAAGAAGCGCAGACAGTTTAGAGATCCATTTTGATTTATTCCATCACACCCCAAAGCCAAAAAAATGGTGAAAATTTAGCTCCATCGGAGATGTTGTGTGAAATACAATTGTATTAAGAAACTGACAAGGAGGTCACTTCAGTGCTCACAGTAGCCCTTCAATAAGCATATGATACTATCAAGGAGGCTATGACAAACAACAATACAAGATCAACTTTCAAGGTTCCCACCAAACAACAAGCTACTGATGGAAATGAAAATTAGAATCTAATTCGAACACTGGTAGAGCTCGCGGAGTGGGGGTGTCTAACAAGAAGCCTAAATCCAACATGGGTGTCACGACATTGAAACATCCGAGTTTCTTGACGGGGAAATAAATTACGCCAAAATAGAAAGTATATGCCCAGCGTGTGGTGAATCACCAAATGCTAGTATATACTCTTGTACTCTGTAGGCAATATTGTTGAATAGAACAATAGATGATAGCTAAATCAGTTATTCAGTTGTATCACCTTTCTGCCCTGAAGCTCCACTTGCAAGTCTGCAATTTTTCTTTGGACAGCAGTAAGCTCCTTCAACACCCTTACCAATTCATCACTCTTTTCACCAGAGCCACTGGAAAAACACTGGATCTCCTCCTAAACCACAAGAAATGAAACTGAGAAACAGAAATCATTATTAACCAATTAAGCTGATAATTAATTATTTGATCCATTTGCTGAAATTCATTGGATCTCCTCCTAGATCGCATGAAATGAAACTCGGAATCAGAATTCATTTGCTGCTTAAATACATTGATGTTCCATTTGATGATGTCTTAACAGTGAAATCGAGGTAATGAATGGGCTTGGTTACCTGTGACGGAGGGGGAGAAACGGCGAAGCCCAGATCGGCGGCAATAGAGAGGGCATCCGACATCCCGCCCAGGCGTCTCACTGGTTTTCGTCCCACCCATGTTGAATCCATTCCCATCATCGGTATTTCTCTCCCCGCCTATTCTTTGCCAAATTCAAAACTCTGGTTGAAATGCACCTTTTCCAAAGATCAAAGAAGTTCAGTCATAAACAGTCAGTAGCAAACTTTTTTTTTAAATTGGAAATACCCCTGGCCCACCTGGAAATCTCTCTCTCTCCTCTTTCTGAAATATGTTTTTATTTTTAATATGAATCTCTTCGGTTTTAACTTTCCTTCGTCCAGTCTCGAGCCAAACAAGGAAGCAATTTGGATTTTTCAATCATACGCTGGTAATCCGTTGATATATGATACACAAACCTCGGTGAATATCCAGGACCCGGAGTAGGTTCCGGAGACTAAACCGGAACCAAGTGCACGCTGGAAGATTCACAAATCGAAAAGTGACAATCCGATGACCGAGGCGGTACAGTCCATTTAAAAGTGGATCCCGGAGGAAGAATCGTTGTTAGCGTCCGTTTAGATTGATGTCACTGAGCATCCTATCATTGATAGTGATGGGTGTATTTCACCCATGACCGGTCAAGGGTCCGAATCCGAAAATTGACCGGTCAAAGAAGTCAAACTTGAAAGGGAGATCTGAGTCGTCAGCGGAGGGATGGTTGGTTGACCAGACTAGTTGATCGGTACACTTTGGATTAGTGTACCGGTCAAACTACTCCATCGCCTAAATTCATCCTCCGAAGTTAGCCAAACCAACCCTCGAAGATCACCCGGTCTAGTTTCCGAAGATCGGAGAGTGTCGGCAGGAGGAATCCAAAAGGATTTGGACTATAGTGGTTGGAATTGCCGAGATGCTGAAGGCATCTTTCCAAACCAGAGCACGACAAAGGCGCAGCCCCCCACGCAAAATGACAAGGCTACGCAGATCAGTCACCTCGCAATACATCAGCAACGTGCCCCCACGTGGGCGCACGTGGTCTTGCCCCCCAGCTTAGTATATATAGCACTTGTAACCCTCGAAGAAGGGGATCCGAATTCATTCTCTCTAAACCCCCTTGTAAAAGTGACCGTGCATTCTCTATTATAAGATAATTCGGGCTACAGGTGTTCCACCTAAAGTCCTACTGGTCATACTGAGTGTTTTTACTTTCTTTGCTTTACTGAATCAAGCCAATTACTCTAGACCCGGTCAAGTATAGTTTGACCGGTCAAGTAATTTACACCATCATTTTTGGCGCCACCCGTGGGACCATTAAGGTTTCTTCTCTTCTAAATACAAACCTACCCGCAAAAACACCACTCAAAATGTCTTCCAGCCAGCAAATCAACGCCACCTCTGCTCAGGTGCAAGCCACCACTGAAGGTGCCAGCATCCCCATGGCTGTTACCCTGCCCACCGTTTCTGCTCCGGTTTTGCCATTGGGACTGGGCTCGGTTCCAACACGGTCAGCCCATTCACGGCCCCCGTCCCTTCCGCTGGGCCAAGGGTCACCTTTCCACCAAGCATGACCCAGTTCATGAATGACCCATCCAACTTACAAGCCATCCAGGGCTTTGGCCAGGTCATGGCCATGTGCCAACAGAATGGGGGAATGCCTTTCCTCCCAGGCATGTTTCCATTCGCCCTTCCAGGTGCTGGAACGATGCCCCTTCAAGCTCCGATGGCAGTGACGCCATTCCAGACGCCGGTGCCGCAACCATCACCTTTCCAGCCGCAGCTGGTCAGCACCACGGCACCTGTCAACTTGACTGGTGCGCTCAACGCCGCAGGGCCATCGCGTCCCCCGCAAGGTACGAATCCGTTAATCACTCCGGATGGACACTGCGTCTCGGTTGAAAGCGGAGACGACGAGTGGGACATTCCGAGGGCCCACAAGAAGAAGAAAGGAAAGGCCATACGCCCCGCCACTTCCCGAAACTCCGCCTTCGAAAGGCTGGGGGATAGGGAAGAGGGCCAGAGAAAGTCAGCCAAGCTAAGACTGGGGCAGAGCGTTGCCCATGTCAGCGCTTTTGCCCGGTTGGGTGAGATGCGGGAGGCTGAGCCTGCCCGCACCCAACGTTCCCGGTCAAACCGGCAGGAGCCAGCCAGGACGAGGGTCTCTCGTCAGGAGGAGGAAGCAGAAAGCCAGCCCAGAGTACCGGTAGCTAACCGGTTAACCGTTCCCAATGACCGCGTCCAACAGATGGAGGCGAAGTTGGAGAGGCTGGAGAAGAAAGTCGGGGAGAAGGGTGACCGGGACAAACCTCTCGCGGGTTCCCCGTTCACCGCAAGGGTCCATCTGACACCTTTCCCGCGAAAGGTTAAGATAGACGCCCCAAGGTTCACCGGTAAGGAGGACCCAGAGATCCACCTGGACTCCTTCAATCAGAGTGCAACCATGAACGGTTGTACAGATGATGAAAAATGCCTCCTTTTCTTCCAAACCTTGCGGAATCGAGCCACTGAGTGGTTCAACAAGCTTCGCCCGGGAAGCATTGACTCATTCAGTGACTTGGCCTCGAAATTCAAGGCCAAATTTCAGGAGAACTGTACTAAGAGGAAGAAATTCACCTATCTTAGTACAGCCGGGCAGCGGGAATCAGAGAACCTCACTCAATTCCTTACCCGGTGGAGGGAGGAGGTAGACAAGGTTGAGGAAATGGATGACAAGACAGTGTTGTCCCTCCTCCTGAATGGTTTGCGAGCCGGGGAACTTTACAAGGAATTCTGCCGAAAACCCCCGGCCACGTACCAGGAGGCCTACCACACTGCATGGGAGTTCGCCGAGGCAGAAACCCAACTCCGGGCGAAGAAAGAGGCCGAGCATGGTTACAAGCCCAAGCCGGTGCCAGTCAAGAAGGAAGAGGCGCCGGGATCCAACCGGCCAAGGCACCACTATGACCCGGTCGTCCGCGTGGTCAACACAGAAGAGTGCCAGGAGATAAGGAAAGCACCGGCTACCTACCCGGTCATTCCTCCGGAAAATCCTACCGGTCAAACTGGGCGCCAGTGGTCGGGCACCTATTGCTCATACCACCGGTCAGATTCCCATAACACATCAGAATGCAAGAGTGTTAAGGGAGTGATCCGGCAGATGATAGATAGCGGGGAACTGGGTAAAGATTATCTACAGAAAGCCCAAGAGAAGAACCACCAATGGGTTAGGCCAGCGACCCAGGAAAGCGACCGGGATAAGGACCGGCGGAGGAACAACCGGCCGAGGGAACAACCTCCCCCTGACAAAGAGCATATTGGAATGATCTTCGGCGGACCCGAGGGGGGAGATTCAGCCGCGCAGCGGAAAAACTGGGTCCGCAGCATTTACGTGGGTGAAGTAAGTGCTGAACCGGCCAGGCGTAAGTATCCCAGGAGGGAGCCAATAGTCTTCACTGACCTGGACCTCCCTCCTACCGGTGAAGATCACAATGATCCATTGGTCATCACCATGGACATCAACGGGGTGGACGTCGCCCGGGTACTTGTTGACACCGGCAGCAGTGTCAACATCCTGTACCTGGAGACCTTCCAAAAACTCAGGTTGTGTCGGACACAACTTGAACCCCTCAAAACTCCTCTCTCAGGTTTCACGGGGGACACAGTGGAAGCTGAGGGGTCCATAGTTCTACCGGTCGAACTAGGATCGGGCGAAAAGACCGTGTGGAAGAGGATGCGGTTCATCGTTGTGGACATCAAATGCGTCCACAACGCCATCCTTGGAAGGCCTGGCATCAACAAGGTCGGGGCGGTGATTTCCATGCCGTACCAGTGCATGAAGTTCCACACTTCGGGCGGTGTGGGAGAAGTGAGGGGCGACCAGAGGAATGCCCGGGAGTGCTATGCCCGGGCGGTTAAAAAGATGACTAAGGGGGTCAACGTCATCTCCCAAGAGATCACAAAGGGAGAGACCCGGGAGAAATTGGAGCCCGAGGCCGAGACGGTGGAAATCGAACTTCACCCGGGTGATTCTTCGAGGATGGTCAGAATTGGAGCGAACCTCCCTGAAGATCTCAAGGCAGAGATTACACGGGTGCTCCAGGAGTACGCGAGCATATTTGCATGGAGCGTGGCAGATATGCCCGGAATAGACCGCTCAATCATCTGTCACCGGTTGGCAGTAAGGGAGGGAAGTCGACCGGTACGCCAGAAGAAAAGGTACCTGGCCAGCGACCGACGAGACTTCGTCAGGAAGGAGGCGAAGGACCTCCTTAGTGTTGGTCACATTCGGGAAGTTAAATACCCGGATTGGCTGGCCAATGTGGTTCTTGCTCCCAAGGGGGACACATGGAGAATGTGTGTGGATTACACGGACTTAAACTAGGCGTGTCCGATGGATTCATACCCCCTCCCTAGTCCAGATCAAATGGTGGACGAAACTGCGGGGTGCGAACTCCTAAGTTTCATGGATGCCTTCAAGGGCTACCACCAAATCTACATGGCCAAGGAGGATGAAGAGAAGACGTCATTCCTCACACCCGAAGGAACCTACTGTTACCGGGTAATGGCGTTTGGCTTGAAGAATTCGGGGGCAACCTACCAGCGCATGGTGAACAAGCTCTT